AGCGGTGGCAGCGGTGCCAGCGGGCTGGCCAGGACTCCCCCCCCAACTCCTCCCTCCGGCAACGTGGACCTGGAAGCCCGGTTCAGCCCAGAGTCCAGTCTCCCTGTGGTCTGACGGCTCCCAAAGGGGCCAGAGAGACCCCGAAACCAGTGCTCAGCCCCAGGCACACAGGGAGCCTCGGCCCCCACCAGCCCTGGAGCTGTGTGGAGGAGCCCAGACCCTCACCGGTCTTGCAGCAGATCTCATCGTAGCTGTACAGCCGGGCTGGGTGGCTCCGCTCATCCCGGGCAACCTTGACGGGGTATTTCTGGAGCCGTCGGATAAGCCCCTTCATCAGCCCAAACTGGATGAGCCGCCTGGGGACAAGGAGGGAAGAGACTGGGGCCACAATGCTGAGGCATAAAACACCCCAGCTCCCTTCTGGTTCTACCACACCATGCCACACCACTGCCTCAGTTTCCCCACCTACAGATGCAGGGGTGAGGTACTCCCTCTTTGCCCCCTCATGCTTGTGCTGCCACCCCTGGTGTCAGCACTGCCCTCGGGGACCAAGCAGGAAAATGCTGGCTCTGACCTCTCGTCCACCCTCTGGAGCTGCAGGGTGTAGCGGGAGATGAGGTCTCGCACTGTCGTGCCAGGGCTCAGCCCGCAGTACAGCTGGAAGACGTCCCTGAGGCTGGCTCGCTTGTGCCCTGTGAGGACAAGTCACCAGTCAGCCACCCGCTCCCTCTGCCTCCGCCGGCAGCCCAGTGCAGGGTCACTGTACCTTGTTTGGTGACGTAGGACAGACACTCTTCCTGGAGACACTTGTCATCCACCAGGTCCTGGACCTTCGGCGTGGTGCAGTACACGTTGGAGTACTGGAGGGCAAGGGAACACCAGCTCTGCTCAGCTCCAGGTCCAAGAGACAGGCCTGCCCTGCTCTGAACCCTGTTGTCCCCCCTACACAGCCACTCTGATGGCACAGCCACCGCCCAAATCCTGCTCACAGCCCCACGCCCCGTGGCCTGACTCACCTGGAGTATGGAGACGAGCGTGACGACCCCATAGTACCTGCAGACGGTCAGGGAAACGTGAGAGACCCTCTCTGCCAGCACCCACTGCACCCCTCCCGGCCGGGCCCCGTCCATGCACTCACAGCAGGTTTTGCACGGCAATGCGCACCAAGTTCAGCTCCACGTCAGCTTCTGCAGAAATCTTCTGGACATGCCGAAAGCCATCGATGTAGGGCAGGATCTAGGAGGGGAGGAGGTGAGAGCTAAGAGGGAAGAGAGTAGAGAGGCCTGAGGCATCACCCTGAAGTCGAAGAAACTCCCCTGTATCTGGGACCACACTGGGACGCACAGACTCCATCCACAGCAGCTTTTAACCCATGTTTTTGGTGCATGGGTCACTCGCAGGCCTGAGAACTAAGACAAGGGGAGCAGTGAACTGTGCTCACAACACAGTGATCTCTGGGGACCGCCTGACTCCCCTCTGCCCCGGGCAGGCTAGAAACAAATCCCGTTCAAAACATGCTGCCACCAGTCAAGCACACAGACCTGCTGTGTGGTGAGATCCCACTGGGAGTTGAAGAAGTCATCCTTGTCTTGGGTGAAGACGGGGACATCGTACTCCTGCACGATTGGGGGATCTGGGCGCTGTTCGATCACCTTCAGGTGGATGGTGTTGGACTCATCTGGCCAGGGAAAACGGAGTGCTCAGGTCCCACAGAAACCTCTGCTCCCTTGGGAGCTCACAACCGCCAGCCCCAGGACACCACGCCACGTGGAGGAAGGTGTTTGCACCCCAAAGCCCCATCCCTCCTGGCCCTTTGAGCTTGACACCCTCCAGCTTCAAGCACAGAGAGGCAGGGAGCTGCCAGGAGCAGCAGAAGCAGAGCTGACCCAGGCAGGCGACGGACCAGCTGAGTACCAGCGCCAGCCTCCCCCACTCCTGCCCTGGCTGCTGGGCCAGGGACAGCGTGGCTGCCGTACCTATGGGCAGGGTGCACTTTCCTTTGGCATTCAGCTCTTCCAACAGGATGGTCATGATGGGAACCAGCTTCTGTTTACTCTCCTCATTGGAGATAAAGCCGCTTTCCAGCTAAAAAGAACAGAAAATTGAGACAGCTCCTCCCTACAGGATTACTGGCTACAGGAACCACACATCTTGGATCCCATCCTCCTTTAAACTTCAAGTGATATGTGGGTAAAACCAGAACTAATCCCCTCCTCACCACAGACCTGGCCCCTACTCCAGCAAGGCCCAGTGACCCACAATGTGCACCAGGACACTGGTGACTCTGGTGCGGATCGTGAGGCAGCCAGCCTCTGCTCGGGGCAGGCTGGGCGGGTGGTGAGGTAGCCGGCCAGCTTCTTCACGATGGGCTCCAGTGCACAGGCCTTGGCTCTGGCATTGCACACGAACCCCAGGTTGAAGAGCAGAGCGTTTCGGCTGTACTTCTTGTGCTCGATACACACGGGGCAGCCGATCAGCTTCTTCTCCATGGCCGTCCTGCGGGAAGAGGAGTGTAACCTGCACCTACACCTTCAGGGAGGCCCGAGCCCTGCACAAGGCTGGTTCCAGGTTGGCTCTGGAAGCCAGGGTTTCTCAGCTTTGCAGGGGAAATGATGTCTAACCCCAAACGCCCAGAGTGCAAACACTCAGTCTGAAGAAGGGGGGAAAGAATCACAGAATGTTAGAGATTGGA